AGAAATAAATATGTTGCCTGGAATTCAGTAAGGAATCGGAATAAATGCAAAATAAAATCATACTATAAATTTGTTTTTATAAATATATATATATATACTTCTCTGAGTAACTCCCTTATAACCATATTTAAACTTGATGAATTGGGAACAAAATACAGTACACCAATTATTAGCAGACTGACTTATTTAGTTTAACTTTCTTTTTATCAAGACACCTATGCTGCTTTGATGAGTTCAGATAGCTCACTGTGGTAAGCATCTGATACCAGGCTGTTCTCTACAGCCTGGTATGATGTGTGTCACAGCTGCAGGTGAACTCAAACATATAATAAAAACATACTTTTTGGTTGATAAAAAGCTTGTTTAATTTTTCAGCAGGGTTCTCACAAAGCAAAACAGATTCTGACCCTATTTGATTTTACTACCTAAGAAATAAAATATTTTCATGTACCCCTTGCAATGCATTCGCAGACCACTAGGGGCACGCATACCCCTGATTGGGAAACTGGTTTAAATGAAGTCAAGGTACATTCAAATATAAAAATATGTTTTTATTTTTATTCCTAAAGTGTGTGAAGGTTTACAAGTGTTTTTTTTGTATTGTTTAAAGTTAAAAGTTTAAATTAACTGTCCTGAATATGCCTTCACGCCTGTTTTTTACCATGAAATGACTGAAATCCTTAAACTGTTAAGAAAAAGATCCACCTGCATTTTCAACGACCTGCCAAAAACCCAAACTAATGGGTGATCTAGCAACCTGAATTTCTTGGTCTTCTGCTGCCAAAACTCTCCTATATCCATGTCGCTCTCATCAGAAGATATTAAAGGACATGCAGTTTTCTCAATTTCTCGTTAAACTCAACTTCATCCTCCACAACAACTGTGCTGCAGGAGACTGTTTCATAACTGATAGGTTGTGAATTCAGCAACAAAATACTTAATTATACTTTAAAGTTCTGAATTATTTATTTAAACTTAGGCTTTTATGATAGACCTTTGTTCCTGTATATCTGTATTAATTAATCATTTCCCCTCCACTGTGGTGGGCCCACCACTCTCCATTCTCACCAGGCTTTAATGTTTCTCTGTCACTATTTCCCAGGTTGGATGGGCGAGCTAGACGAGTACTCCTTGCATGGTGATTGTCCTGTCAACCGAGGAGTAAAGTGGGTGGCCACCAGCTGGGTCAACGTTGACCCCAATTACCAGCAGCAGGCTCGCTACCAGAGACTAGTTGCTCAAAGACATCAAGCTAAGTCTGCCGTGGATGACCATTACCCATCTCTCTCACACGGCGACCTCCACCTGGATCTATAGCCAAGGCATTCATTTACCTAATAATTTATATCTGCTTTAAAATGCACCAATCCTTCTAGTTAGGTCTGACTAACATTTACACACCGTAAGATAATATGGAGCACTTTGCAAACATCATGAACCCCTAACATTAGATCATAGATACCCCTTACATTAAGTCGGATTGGTTGGTTTACGGCTGTCTTTGAGCAAAGCTTTTCAGGGTTTCCGAAGGACTTAATGGGCTCCTCTGAAAATGTTTAAGTGCATATTGTTGTTGCTCAAAGTGCCAAACTTATGTCTCACAGACATAACAGCATCTCTGCAGTAAGAAGTGAGTCCCAAAGAGCTGTTAGCATAGGTTTCTTTGTTTCCTGAAGATGAGATTAGCAGATGCAATTAACAGTCCTTATTGGTTTATTATTTCTCAAACTGTTTAAAAATCTGAGCATGTTATGTAAAGTAGTGCTATGATTTGCTTCTTGAATTTTTTTTTTCAACTTTTCACAGCTAACAATACAATTTGTTATTGATCCTGAATCACTTTACTTTGTGTAGGCCTAACAATAACTTTTTAGATGCCTTTATTAAACATTTAATGATTCATAGGCTAATGTTGGACAGATCAACAAGCTTAAAATTGTAATTAAAATCATTTTTAGTACAGGGGATTTAAATTAAATTTATTTAAATCTTCCAGTGTCAAAAACATGTTAAGATCCTTAAAAGAAAGTCTGGAAGCTGTTGCTCAAGACCACCTTAAATGAACTCAAGCAGGTCACTAACATCAAGTGATAAAGGGAGGTTCAGGACTTTTGAACTGGTCTAAGCCTGTATGAAAGTTGCACAAATTAGCATCACATATTTCTTCATGAAATCTCCATTTCAATGTTAACAGGACAGATTCACTATAATTTATGATTTGTTAAAAAAAAAAAAAAAACGTTTTGTGAAAAATGTAAGAGATTAAATGTTTTAACAACTTAACAGCACCTTAATAATAAATGATAGATTTAGAGGGATTGGTATTTATAAACACAGAGAAGAGATATCCAAAACAGGCTGTCTGATAATGGCCAGCTTAATTGCACTCTGTCTGAGTAGATGAGGCCTCTGCCCCTGATTCAGGTCATTTTAATTTATTGATATGAAATTGAAGCCATTTTCTTGTGGTCATGTGATAATTGTCGTCTGTGAATGTATTCCTGATGGAAAGTGCTTCTCAGATATAATGTGTCAGCTCATTTTTTCATCTTCATGTCCAGAGTTATTGATATTGGTCGCAAAGTGTTATTTAATAAAGCTTTGTTTAAAATCCAACAGTCAGGACTATACTGGGCTGGATAGAATAATGCAAAGCCAGTCCTTCAGGTAAAAGTCAAGTCTAGATCTTTGGTCTGTTTTACTGCGCGTTAATATCTGCACAACACAAATGTATTTATTGTCTGTGTCTATTTATTTATTTATTTATTACCATCATTTGGTCATTTAAGTTAAAGACGTGTATTTATTAATGGTTGACATTGCACTAAATCTGTAAGTGTGAACAATGTACTTGTGTGTGTTAAGACATTAAATCTATAAAGCTATGTTTTATGAACAGTGTTTGGTTGTTTGATTCTTTACTGAAGATGCCAAAGCACCTTTTGGCCACTAGGTGGCATCAAGTGCTTCCAATCCGATGCATCAAACTTAAAAATCTAATTCAGACATTGACGACAACTATGATGCAATTTAAAGAGATTTCATAGGTGTCATACAATACATGTATCTGTGGCTACATATATTTGGCAATACTTAATGCAGTATTATTTCAGTGTTTTCAAATCTCTAAAGAAACGGGAATGATTCTTACATTAAAATTTACCATTAATCTGTTCATGTCATTTTTGTTCACAAAAGTTTAAAAGTTAAATTTAGAATTGGATGGTGTCTGAATTTATAGTATTATGTGGTAAAATATAGGTGAATAGTTGTCTGATTTAGACTAGCATTGGAATTCCTGTGACCCTAACGATCACTTTAGTTTACCAGCACTGCTATGCAGTCTGTTCGTATAAGTATCACAAACTCTATTAACTAGTAGAATAGGGATTTCTCTGTCTTAATATGTTGATCATTGTTTTTTAAAACTTACAGAAAAAACATGCCATTTCACATTTTATATTTCCGTGGGTTTCTAAAAAGAATGTCAAGATTGTTTTCTATCTCGACCTTTAAGTGCCCCAAAAATTTAAAACAATTATCTGGTGACTAATACTGTGTTTTCAATGTTTGAATGTTTTGTATACCATATAACAGACAGACAACCTCTAAGATATAGAAGGTAATTTAAATAGTTATTTATTTTCCTATATTTCAGTTAAAAAAGTGAACATAGGAAGTTGTTAGAAATATATCAATTTTATATGTCTGTAAACTTTGATTATTTTGAATTTTTAATGGCATTTTCAACAATGTTGTTCAGGAAGTTTACATAAAAATGTTAGGTAATGCCCATATTATTCAAAGGCAAAACTGCTGACTTTACAGTGACATAAAATTACTTTAAAAGGTTGCATGATGCTGTATGCTAGTGTATTATTAGGAAGTTAAGGAAGGAAAACTGAGAGCAAAGGTTCAGGGTAACTGCAACCTTGCAGAGGCTGTAAGAAAATGTTTCATTGTGAAATATTCAAAAGGTGTGGCTGCAACTGAAGTCAATGCACGGATGTACCCAAGGCATGCACTCTGACTGTTGCATTCCTTGAATTAAGCCCACTTTAGAGTGGAAAAGAGTGAAAGGACTAAAGTCAATCATCTTTTCAGTTTGTGAATATAGCAAATTATGCATTAGTTTAAGAAACCAGGGTCACAAAGTAGGAAAGAAGATTGTAGTGGTAGAGGATCCATGTTGTTATGGAGCCATGAGGTCTGTCTGCTGACCAGCTTTATGAATATATAGATTTAATTTTCCAGTAGAATTTGGAATCCGATCAGCCTGCGGAAAATAACCAGTTGGAAAATTGATTTCCTCCTAGAGTTAGAGTTAAAATTAAGTATTTAGGATAACTGGAAATTGGTTTTTACTGTCAGTTTCTTGTTTGAAGCATTGTATGGATTCGTCTGCTTTAGATACTTTTGACTATTGATTTTTTTGTTTTGTTTTGTTTTCATTCAAAGATGGACTCGCTGCAATGGTCCTGCTGCATAACTCAAGGTCATGAACTAATACGTTTTTTTTAATCAATTATTTTAATGTAGCCAATTTTTTTTTTTTTTACTTATTAATGTTTTTTTATACAGTCTATTATCGCTTAGGTCATTTATTGTAAACGGCCTTTACCTTTTTTAGCTCAACTTTACACATTTTCTTGAACCTTGTGATTAGAGGCTTCAAAAAAGTAAAAACCCCTGCCTAGTTTTCTGTCATCCTGTTTTCAAGCCATAGAGGACTTGAGTGGTCTGATATCACTGTGTTAAACATTAGTCCCCGGTTGTGGTGTGGAGATGCACATTCATATGTTTAGAACTAATTCTGAACCTGAAATACCCGCATCCGCCTGCGATATATAGAAACATTTCCCAGTGATATCAGGTCAAGGACGTATAGAACGCATCCTTGTCGTGACGCGTCCTGCCAGAGCGCTGTTGCTGATGCTGCGCGCGCTCCTCACCGGGAACTCCCCTCAGCCAATCACGTCGACCCACCGGCAGCGCGAGGAGGCGGGGGTAGAGAGTCGCTCACAGCTAACGGACTGTCGAGCCGAGCAGATCACATTCTCCGAGCCGTCGAACCGCGGCACCTCGCAGACCAGGGACCATGGACTTCTGACCGAGCTGCTGAATCCAAAACAATCATACAAATTATTCACCCAAAGGCTTAGTATCATTTTTCATTAAGGGTTCATCCATGAGATTCTTCAGGCTTACCTTTAAGTGCTTCGTCGACTGCTTTTGAATCTCCTCCTTGTCAACGGCTCAACTGACCGCGGCGCTTTGTGACATTTTTCCATCTCTTTCGGCTGAGCTGAGGGGTTCCAACGTGTGATATAGAAAAAAAAAACTGAATTTTTGTATTATTTCAGAAAGAAGAAATAAACTCAGAAAACAACAAGAACAATTGAGGCAGTGTAGCCTTTATGGTGGCTACATCTCTCTGTCTCCCCCTCTGAGCCAGTCGGGTACATATAAAGAAAAAACACACGAAAAAATACAAAACAAACAAATATTTTTCAAATTTAAAGACGATACCACCAAGCAGCTTATACCTTTCCCTTAATATGTCACCAGAGGTGGAAGAGAACAGCCAAGGTAAGTTTTTTATAAACATTTTCTTTGTTTATTTTACATTTTACAGCTGATTTAACATTCAACAACCATACAGCCATAATATATATGTATTATTTAAATCATCTGATTAACTTCTACACTGTTTACCTGGCATGAAACAGCCAAACATCACAGATGTCCTCCACTAGTTTCCGCCTTGATTGCTCAATGCATCATGAAATATAAAAATAGATGTGGCATATCCAGCCTGCAGGCATATTTAATCACTTGCTATCTGGAAGAAAAAAAAACATTTATTTCCCAAAGAAAATCCCCAGTGCTTCATCCCTCAGCTTGGTAAGGCTTATCCTGCTTTTATGCTTTAGCATTCTTAAAATAAGATAAGTCTAATCTCTTTATAAACCATTGTTTCTCATTATCTGTATTTGCCTATGAACCTGTTTTGATAAACAAACAGAATATCTCAAAAGCAGAGGCATCTTCTTTCCATGTTGATGCTTAAATCATTTCTCCCCATCTATTCCCCCCTCCTCATCTATATTCACACACCCTCAAACTGCTCTGATCTGGATTCATCCACCCCGCTTTGCATCAACACGCCTGACACTTAATATTATGGAATGCCACAAAATGAGGCCTAACCCTTATTTATTTGGTTATGTAAAACAGAAGAAAAAAGCTTTATGAGCACGACAGGAGCTGCAGTAATGTGCCTGTGCTTGGTTTGTGTGTGCTGCAGCACACAAATCAAGAGAGGCGCCGACAGAGAATGAACATCGGGGGATGGATCAGTGATCACAGTGAACTCCAACACACTGCGGGTGACAAAAAAATATAAAATAGCAAGACAGAGGAAGTGTCTAATGAGATGGGATTTGACTGTTTTCTGATCATGAGTCATTTTGCAATGAATGGGAAGCAAACTTATTTAGTTTTCATTCATTGTATGTCTGGCTGGAGAGACTGTGATTCATCAGTGATGACGTAGGATGTGCCACAGTTTGCTGTTTTATTTAGACGTGGTTCTCATACAGATCCATTTCCAATTCATTCATGGTTTCGCCTCATCCCATCTCTCCTGTGTCATTTGACCTCTCTTCTGTGTTCAGATGAAATCAATGTCTCCCAGATGGAGGCAGGGGCCCTGTCCGAGGAGGAGGGCGGGGGGTCAGCTCGCCCACTGGTGCCAGTGCTTGGTGCCGACCCAGGGTGTGGAGAGGGTGGAGGGGCTGGTCCACCACAGACCCAGGACGGGGCTGCAGCAGGGACTGGAAACGGGGCAGTGGCTGGACGGGATGGGGAGCGAGAAACCTGGACCAGGCAGATGGACTTCATCATGTCCTGCGTTGGATTCGCTGTTGGCTTGGGCAACGTGTGGCGGTTCCCATACCTGTGCTACAAGAATGGAGGAGGTGAGCTTTAAAGGCATCTGTATATCTCTGTTTTGACTGCAAACAGACTTGTACACTTAAATACAGACATTACATTGCTCTTGAATATGTCTATCCTGTTTTTCATATGATGCTCAGGACTAATTTTCAGAAATGATGGACATTGAAAAATTAGAAAGGTAAAATGGAATTAGGATTTCAGTTAAATCAATATTATGCACCAATCGATTATCTTGTTTCTAAATGAAGGCATCTTGAGTTGTTGCCAGCAGGTCAGATAGCTACAGATCAAAGTCATACTGTTACATAAAATCTGCAAACTAACACTTTTGAAAGTAAAAAAACCTCTTCAGATGGAATGAATGAGGATAATGTAGTAATTTCTCATGCATCAAAAATTCCCCAATCAACCAGATGGGGAAAAAAAGGAATTTGGTACTCACAAGTAAATGTTTGATTGATACATTTCCGATTAAACTTCATTTGAAGGGTAAAAATATCAAAATTCAGTTGCATATTTGTACATATCTGTTGATTTAGAAAACGTATATTCAATCTAACGCACTATATATACAAGATTATCTAAAGATAAAGAAAATAACTCAGATCAAATTAGCTGCCTTACACATGTTTATTAGATAAAAACAGTCAAAACTAACTTGATTTTATAGTTCTCAGTAGAAATACATGACATCAAACAAGTCATGCAAATACAACTCATTATGATTAAAGATAATTAAGTTTTGGATAATGCATCGTGTTGGGTCTTAGTATATGGAAAATGCAGCGCTTGCATTCAACCTGTTCACTTAGCAGTCGATCCCACCTGTGTTTTCCTAATGAGAATCAACTCCTCAGTGCAATTAACAATAATTCCCGATGAGCCTTGTTATCAACTGAGCAACAGGTCTATCTATAGGATTTCCCTCCCTAAAACTGCATCACTGTGTGAAAGCATTTGCATTTTGATCAGGCAGAGAGATCAATCGCACCCATTTGAGTTCCTCAGCTTTGTCAATTGTTGTGGTTTGTTTTAAACAAGAGTCGTTTTTTGGCTATAGCATTATTTGATAAGCAATGACGTGATGGAATCTATGGTATGTCAAGTGTAGACTTGAGGTTATATTTGAAAAACTTTTAAGCACCAAATCATTAATTTCAAACCATAGTATCTTTAAAGACACCATTCGGTTAAGTGTAGAGATTCTTTCTTTTTACCATGATTGTACTCATAGTAATTCAAATATCTTTATTTTAGCAGATCTTCTGTTGCTTTTTGTAGCCTTGTGGGGTTATCTGGTTTGTTATCTGTTTCTGTTTTAAGAATTTAGAGTTCCATCCCCCTGCCTTCTCCTGTGTGTGCGTGCCATCTCTGACTTTTGCGTTGGTAAAAAAGTCCAACTTCAAGGGATTAAAATCAGGCCTTGAACGCTTACCTAATCTACTATATTAATAAACAAATCTTAACCTCCCTAGCACTTCTTAGCTAAAACATAGCTTTTATAACACAGTTGCGCTCAAAATGATTTTAACTCCCGGCAGATGTTGGTTTGATGATTGTTTTAAAAGTTATATTTGATCACGTTTCTTCGCGACAATAACGTTAGAGTTTTGGAAGGACCGAGCCAGAATCTGGACTGGAATCTGATAGAGAATCTTTAGAAGAAACTAAAGATTAGGGTGATGACGAGGAGGCCTTCAGCTCATCATCAGAAATAATTTCCAGAGATTACAAAAAGCCAGTCAGCAATTATAAGAAGGTTCTTGTTGCTCTAATGCCAATACATATGTTTCAACTGATTGTAAGAGTATAAATAATTATTTTCAACATGCCATTCTGTTAAAATGTAACTAAAAAATCTGATTTTTTTTTTCTTAACCTATCAAACTTTTAGTGTATTTTATTTTTTTGAAAGATTTCTGTGTCTCATTTCCTGTCAGAAACCAACTTTTTGGCTGAATTGAAATGTACTTACTAGAGGTATTACCAACGTCCACTTTCAATAAATTATTTTAAATTAAATAGATGAATAGATAGGTTAAATATAATTACAATGCCTTAGACAATCTGATAGCTCCCAGATGAGAAAGTGAAAGAATGGCATGCTAAATGTAATAATTATGAGATAAATTGGAGGCATCCCTGCATGTTTTTTTTATTCAGGCACAACCCCAAACAGGCTTATTATTTGGCATCGTGGAAAAACAAATAAGATTACAAATAAATAAGATTAGGACAGAACTAAAGACAAGTCTTTTGTCCTTGGGAACAGTTTCTGGATCTCTGAAGGTGCTATGTTCATCTTTTCAAAGAATTTTACATAAGCATCTAAGGCAAGGGAATGTCTTAGCATCTTTATATGTACAGAGACTAAGCTGATTTTACAGACATGTCCTATGGTCTGTTTAAACTAAAATTTAAGCTTTGGAGCATAATGATTATCATTAGATTTGGAGGGAAAAGGAGGAATCTTGCAAACTTAAGAACAGGCTGTGAGGTAAAGAGATGGCAGCATCATATTTTGGGGTTGTTGAGCTACTATATTAACTGTTTCATTCCACAAATAAAGTAAAACGGGAAGAGGGAGAAGAAGGAAGTTGAACTTGGACAAAAACAGGTTTTCCTACTAACTCCAGCAATACAGCCAGATTATTGGTGAAGGGTTTTAAGGATAACAGAGTCATAGTCAAGTTTTGGAATATGCATCACAAACTCATGATCTCAGTCACATACAAACTGTTTTAAGGCCTCCTAAGATATTTATCTAAGTTATTCCAGTTTTTTCTAGAGGTATTGAACAAAATTCCAGCACAAATTGTGAAACCCTTTTGCAAAGATATCATTCAAAAATCACTTCTATTAGATTCTAAGTAGATCTATGTAAATTGTTGGATTTAAAGAACGTTCATAAACATATCAGCTAAAAAAATCTTGCTCATTAATCAGACATTTAATAAATAGAAATAATTTAAAGTGAAAGGAAGTTTAAGTCAGACAACAAGGGGAAAATAGGCTATTTTGAGGGTGTTTATAAAGTTCATGTTAATATCTTATTCTAAACAGATATCTGATTTTATGACACAACATTTTTACCAACAGGTTTAATCAATGAGTGCACTTTAAGTGTACAGTCTGTGGCCCACATGGTTAGCTATATACTGTAAAGTGCTGGCAGGGAAAGGCCTGCGTGCCTACGAACACGTAGCTCAAAGCTCTGCCTCCCCACATGATTCTTTATTTATTATAGTCAGCCACTGTTTAACAGTCGGACTTAGAACAAATAATCCTGCTGCATTTCTCCTGCACTCATTTGACTATAAGGCCTTTAACCTGCATTATGTCTTCTTTGTATAGTATTTCCCTTTGCCCGACAGTTACCTTACCTGACTGGGACTTTTGCCCTCGATTCTTCCTTATCACTGCCCTACCCACTTTTGAGGGTTTATTTTTAATGAGACCTTTCATTGAAATAAAGCTGAATTTGTGTTTGCCTTTCCTCGTGTGTCTGTGTCTTGTGACCTGCAGCTCTGATACCCACCTACTGGTATCATATAACAATAGGCTGCCTCACACAGTCCACCCCCTGCACGCCCGTCCTGCAGTCTTCAGGGATACTAAGTCGTTCTTTCTCACCCGGCTGTTGTCCTGATAAGGAGACATATGCATATGTTACACAATAACTCTCCTGATATGGCACCCATCCATTTGTCCTTCCAGCGTCAGCACGTTCTCATCCTCTGTGCCCTTGATCATTGCAGTCTACATTTTGTTACACAGCAAAGTTATCCTTCAACACCTGCCTGTAAATGAAACAAATTGGCACGGCCTTTGAAATTAGATTACGCCGCTGTAAAAATTATGTAACTAATCCCCTCCAAATCAGATGTTTGTCTGTAAATCAGCTGATGTGTCTCATCCTTTTAGGATTAAAAAGGATTTATTTAAGCTTGTCAGAGCCCTTTTCTTGATAATTTGAGCAATATGTTGAGATACGTCAGCGCAGGCTTCTGTCCTCTTCTTTCTTTCTCTCTCCATCTCTCTCAACCTTTTTCTCCCTTGACTCACAAATGCTTCCTTATATGGCTAAAGCCCTCTTCCCTCCGAAACGCAGCATGAAGAGAGAGGAGCTGAATGAGGTGTGAGCTGTCAAGTGGCATCACGGATGCAGAGCCCGCAAAGTTGTTGCCTCCATGTGTGATTTTTTTTAAATTTGTAAATTTTTTTAGATGCACCCTGTTAGAGCTCCACAGCGCTGTCCCAGTTCTCTGCCTGCATCTCATGTAATCTATCCATCTTTCCCCCCTTTCTTCTCGGCCTCGTTCTGCTCTGCGTCATCGCTGTCATGTGACTCTGTCCCATCTGCACACTATGTTGGCATCACTCAGCTCTGGTATTAACAAAACCAAGTGGTTGAAATTCCATTTAGCGATTTGAATTGCTCATCCCTAATTTCTATGCGTTTTTTTTTTTTTTTTTCTCCCCACATCGATCAACTCAAACTTCTGCTGAAGTATAAGGATCCAAAAGTAGGATTAGCACGACACAGAAAGCCGTTAACACAACATGTCTCTGTTTCCTGTTTATTGTCCTCTTATCATCTCCATTTCATAGTCCTTTTTTTGCCGTCTCACCCAGCAGCTGTCAAGTTGAAGGTCGATATTACACTCTACTTATGTGTTGAAACACTCGTAAAATTGGAGACATTGTGTTTATGTCGCATAGAGATTCCTGTCTGTCCTCCTGCCTGAATTCAACTTATGGTTTTTTTTTCACACCTGATATTGGTCTTTGCCCAGCTTTTGATTCCATATTTTAAAACCTTATCTCCTAATACTCCTTTATTTCTTTATCTCGCATAATTTATTTTAAAAAATCTAAGCATTTAAAAGAAAACAAAAATGGTTTAATAAACTGACGAATAATTAATCACTCCATGTCACTAGAAATTATTTTTCACTGGGTTCTGATCTTGATTCCCTTAAGTTTTGATTTTACAAAGAAAATAGTCGGTCTACTTCCAGTTTCTTTTAATGATCTTACGGAGCCTAACAGAACTCAAAAACATGAAGTTCTATTAAGTCTGCCATGAATAGTTAAAGATTGTTCATATTAGGTGAAGGGGCAAGGTCAGACCCGGTAGACAAGGTGTTGCTGATGAAAGTAAAGACCAAATAATATGCTGATGACAATATAATCGTCTTTAGTTTGTTGTAATTCCAATAAGCCCTGCTAACTGCTGTATAAACATACGTCTCCGTTCCTTAGAGAAGGTAGGCCCTGACTTCAGCGCTGAGATCTCCAAAACATTGCCAACACTTCCACATACAGCCTGTTTTATAGGAGGGTTGAAGCTCTAAAGAGTAAAACAGAAACTTTCCCTATGTTTAGGCTTTGAGCTAAGTACAGACGTGAGGTCTGGGTCAGTTTATCACTGTGATTCCGCTAGGTGATTAAAAGTTATCATCCTGTGACGGATGGGTCCTTTATTTTTAACCTAAAACAGGCCAAATTGAAAAAAAAAAAAACTTAAAATATTTCAAATGTGTGTTTCTCAGGGGTTTTCCTGATCCCTTACCTGCTGATCGTGTTCATCGGCGGAATCCCCGTCTTCTTCTTGGAGATCGCACTGGGCCAGTTCATGAAGCAAGGAGGAGTCTCTGCATGGAACATTGCTCCCCTCTTTAAGGGTAGAAACCTTTCTGTAATCCTCAGTAGACTGTGATACTCAGCTTTATGAAGAATATGACATAGTTTCTTCTGTTCTTTAGGTCTGGGACTTGCATCAATGGTGATTGTGTTTTTCTGTAATACCTACTACATCATGATACTGGTGTGGGGCCTCTACTTTTTCTTCCACTCTTTTACTAACCCACTACCCTGGGCCACCTGTGGACACCCTTGGAACACTCCCAACTGCACACAAGACTTCCGGCGTGCTTGCTACAACCGCAGCGCTCTACAGTCACCAGCTGCCACCTCCAACCCCCTGTCCACCCTGTCGCCACCAAACCTGACCTCCTCCCTTCTCCTGATCAATAACAGCTGCATGGAAACCGAGGGTCTGCGCTCCCCGGTCATCGAGTTCTGGGAGTAGGTTCAGATCCTTCAGTTAATCATGACAGATTGTAGAAGCAAAACTAAAAGATTGAAAATAATCATGAAAGGCTTTTCATTTTAATAGTTTTTAGTATATTACAAAAAAGTTACAAAAAAAAAAAACTATCTGCTGGACTTTGTTTCCAAGTTTGAAGATGTTTCGCTTCCAATCCAAGAAGCTTTTTAAATTCAAAATGTAAGAATTAGCGTTGAGTTCAAGTCTTTATAGAGTTTATTAAAACAAAGCCTTGTTTTTGCTGAGAAACATTTTTTAGTTTGTTTTTTTTTATATTTTATCCAAGGTTTTGATGTCTTTGCATTTATATTACATTTATTAGCCAAATGTCTGATTTGAATTTTTTTTTCAGGGCGAAAAACTGCTTAGTTCTGCATGAATTATTTCACTTTAACACACAGCTGGTGATTTTAAGCCATTCAGATTTTTTATTTGCCTAATTAGCCCATTTTTTGCTGCTCTTTTTTTTTTTTTTTTTAGACGTAAAGTGCTTCGCCTCTCTGGAGGTCTGCATGAGCCTGGTGCAATCTGCTATGAGATGGTGCTGTGTCTTATAGCCACCTGGGTCATTGTTTACTTCTGCATGTGGAAAGGAGTGAAATCTACTGGCAAGGTAATGTCCTATAGAGGCTAAACCCAAATCCCTAACATCACGAGTTATGTTTTAGTTTTACAGAAGGCAGGTTAATATATATGGTCTCAATGGGGAAAGCTGGTGAAGCACTTGTTTCTTTTCAGCTCCAAATCAGCTTTACCACTGATGAAAAAAAGCCGAAAAAAACAGAACTTTCAAAAGATTCTCTGAATATTTATGAAGGTCTTTTATAAAACCCTAGAAAACCCTGTTGATCCACCATTATTTTTCTAGAAAATAATATAAAATATAAAATACTGATAATCTTTTGAGGAATTACATTCTTCAAAACATTGCCATAATGACTAAATCCCTATTTTGTGACAAAAAAGTAGGTTCTTGAGTCTCTAGCCGCTATAAAGCTGCTAGAGGGAGGGTGAGAATAATGAATCAGATTGAACCCGCCTGCTGTAAGCCGCTTATTACCATTCCACTATGTACATGTTTGCAAGCTAAAAGGGGCATTTTCCTGACCATGTTTACGTCAGATCAAGACAAAATGTTCTCTTTCACCACTTTATTCCCACCAGACTCACACATTTACTCGGAGACTGGGAGTGGCCTCTTCAGAATAACTTGATTTAGAGTACTTTCAGAAAAGGTACACCTAAACACCCACTTCTGCAGGGCTTGTTTTTTCTGATTTCTCATCAACAGGCTTCATTTTCTTCTTCCTAACACGTATTACACATCTATTAAAAGAAAGACCTAGTGTGCCTCCATTTTTGTACTGAGTGTTTGCAAAGCAGGTAATCACCTATAAGTGATTACAACACTTGGTGTTACACAATAGCTCAAACTTAACGAAATCAACCTTTCTTTGTAAAATACCCAAACATGTTTTAACTTTTAAAGGGTTTGATATGCTTTGAACAGTTTCAGATTTTGCCATCATGAAGCCACAAACCTTAATGTGTTGTTTTTCTGTATTTGGAGGAAACAGTTATGTTAGTTATGTTAAATATTTTTTAATAGAATTCATGTTCCTTAAACTTAATACAAGTGCATTGTAGTTCACAATCTTATCCACCAATAAAAATATGACGTATGAGTTGATCTTTGATTGAATCTTTCGTTCATTTCTACCTTCAACTTCTTTAGGTTGTGTACTTCACAGCACTGTTCCCCTACCTGGTTCTGGTGGTTCTTCTGGCTCATGGAGTCACCCTACCTGGCGCTTTAGATGGAATTGTTTACTACTTAAAACCAGACTGGTCCAAACTGGGAGAAGCACAGGTGAAACTCTTACATTACATCCTTTTTTTGTGTGTGTGTGTTTAGTTTTTCTGTGCAGTAAACAAGCAATATAAAAGAATAAAAAAAAAAGAAAGAAAACAAAAAGACATCTTTATAAACAGATCAGAACTGTTGGAAATAGTGTTTTAATTTTTATGATAGGTTTGGATTGATGCTGGCACTCAGATTTTCTTCTCCTATGCCATCGGACTTGGTGCCCTAACGGCGCTGGGCAGCTACAACCGCTTCCATAACAACTGTTACCAGTGAGTTTATACACAGCATAAAATACAGACACCACTGATGCTGAAACAAGGCCAAGATTGACAAGAAGCCCTTACCTTACTTTTAATCCCAAAACACTCAAATATGGCCTTCCAATGTCATATTAGGGGTAGGTATTCATTTCTCTCTGGGTACCATTAACTTTAAACTTTCAAATGCCCTAAAAGTACAAATGAAAACTATAAATGACTGCTCAAAAATGACCTGTCCTCATTTCTCTTATTGCATTGGTTTTCACATGTTTCAAACATGTTTATGATATTGATTTCCTTGAGCAGCGGTTGCATAACTCTGCAGCAGTAATATCGCCTGCTGTCATAAATCTCACCATACAGCCTGTGTGTTTGGAATCCTATAAAACCAGGAATCTCATAAATATTTTTGCTATCAGGCATATCCTTTTCTTCTTTAACCATAATTGGAAGTTACAATATGATGTGCTGCTATGGTAAATTTTGAACACTACTACAGGTCAGAAAGTACAGGTCCTTCCAAAACTATTTATTTCCATTTAACTTTTTCCCATTTTATCAGAGTAAAAAACCTCAGTGCATTTTTTTGTGTCATTTCATGTGATAAACCAACACAAATAGGACATAGTTGTGAATTCAAAAAAGGAAATGTTAGCTTTCAAATTTTTGTTTACAGACAGAAAAAAATATTTTATTTCTTACCTCTCTGAGTCAATCACATGAAGAACCTCCTTAGGGCCAAATGGCTGCAAGTACCTCTTTTTCGTCACCACCACTTTGTATCTAAACACTGGATTGATTGTCTGTTTTTGTGTAAGAAATAATTCAAACTCAAGAGTAAATGAATATGCATCTTTTAACAGCAGTTTTCAAATATTCCCACAGTTTTTTATTCAGGTTTAAACACCTAAAAAATGCTTAAACGTTTCGCATGGAGTTCTGCCTGAATGATAATAGCTACTCTGCTAGATGGGGAATTTTGCCTCAGGTTCAGCCTCCAATAGTATTGTTTTAAAGACTGTCCTGGATTTAGCTTCATCCATCTTGTCATCCGCTTTATTCAGCCACCAAATCCCTACTTAGGAAAATGTTTTCACACAACATAATGCTGCCATCACCAAGTTTCAGGGTCAAAAGTGCTCCTTTATTGCCACATCCTGGTTTGCTTGCAGGGCATACATTTTCTTTCATTTTCACTAATAGGTCAGATTCTTTGGTGCGAGGCAAAAATCCCTATTACCTCTGACCCAATCAGTTTACTCTATGCCTGCAGCTCCTTCATAGCTGCATGTTTCATTTCCTACTTCCCCGGTCAATCCTTACCTTGCCTGTCCTGTCAGTAGAGGTGGACAACCAAGCCTTAGACGATGTGCCATATCTCTCTATTTAAAAAGATGGGTTGAAAAGCACTCTGTGGGACGTTCAAAGCTTGGGAAAATGTTTTCCCAAACAACCCTGCTTTAAAACAGACACATAATTTCATCCCTGATCTCTTTTATGTTGTCACACTAATGTTTGCCAACAGAACCCAGAGGTCCAAACAAAATGGGTAGATCCGTAGTGATGTTAAATAACACCAAAGTTGTGTGTGTTGATTAACTAGGTGACCTTATAAAACAGTTGGTTGACCACGACTTTATTTGAATACGAGATATAGAAAACTCCTTTTTTTCCTCCTCACAATAATGCAGTACTCTGTGTTGTTCTAGAGCATAATGTTGCCAAAAAATAAAGAACATGTTCTAATAGCAACAACGCAGAAATGTGATAAAGTTTAATGAATTTAAGCTACTTTTGCAAAGTAATGTTGAAAAAAACTAAAATCCATCTTTAATGGTCCATCATGTATGTTTAGAAATCAAGTCAATCTTCTGCCCCCTCTGTTCATGCTGTTGTCCAGACTGAAATATCTAGAGTTGTTGGATAGGGTACCTTAAACACACCGACACATGACTGGGCGGCAACTAATGTCCCAACTATTTTTATAGCGTGGTTTCTCTTCTTTAAGACAAAAAAAAACAAAACTATTTCGCTGAACTGAGCTCCATTTTCCTTTATGTTATCGTCTGTTTTCCTTGTTTGGATGCTATGAATAATCGGGATTATGGCACACATTCTCAGACAATCTCTCCTCAAATGGATTGAAGGTGTTTGCTACTTGCTGTTTACAGGAGGGGTCACAGAAGTGCTTGTGTAAAGAGTAAAAAAAAAAGGAAAAGAAAATTCCTAGAGGCTGTTGACATTTTACTCAGAGGAGGGTTCTCCTGAACATAACCATGTAACACTGTTAGAGAAACCACAGCAGATGTTGTTTATACATTCCTCATATCTTTGTGGAGTTCCAGTTTTTGTTGTGCATTGTGCTACTCTAGACCTTAACAGCTGTGTTAATACAAAAACAGACTAAACGGTTGGATTTTGTCATGTACCTCAGTATTTCCAACAAGAAATATTTCAGAGACTGTACAGAGAAGTTCTCCAGCATTAGTTGACTCAGATGACTGATCATAATAGCAGACAAAATGGAAATCTAAATTAGACTTGCAGCTTCTTTGGTTCTCTGGGGCATTAGCTCTTTTTCCTACCTGCCAACTAAGAAGGTTTCGTCTTTTAGAAAATTGCTATTGATCCCTAATTTACCATCCGAGTCCATCTCCTCTTTGTCTGGGTCTGTCTTGAGTATGTTACATAAGCCTAAGTTACATCATATGGTCCAGTGTGTTTTCCCCACTTTTTTCCTTTTTAACTTCTGTATTCGTGTTTTTTTTTTTTTTTTTTTTTTTCATTTTTCTGTAGGGATGCTTTTGTCCTGGCTATGATCAACAGTGGAACCAGTTTTTTTGCTGGCTTCGTTGTGTTCTCTGTTCTGGGCTTCATGGCTGCGGAACAGGGAGTGGACATCAGTAAGGTGGCTGAGAGTGGTGAGTGTGCAGCTATTTGTTATGAGTCATTCTAAGTATTGAAGGGTTTCATTATTCTGACTGTGTTTCTTTGTTTGCAGGCCCAGGCCTGGCTTTCATAGCCTACCCCAAAGCTGTGACTCTGATGCCTCTGGCGCCACTTTGGGCAGCGCTATTTTTCTTTATGTTGCTCATACTGGGCCTGGACAGTCAGGTAACGGTGATATTTAACCTTGGTAAAATACATCAGCTCAGATGGAGCAGGGCTAAACACCTTATCCTGACACAGTCACCCTACTTAACTTGAAAAGAAATGCAGTTTGCATAGACTAGCCACAGGCAAAGTTGTTGAAATGATTTTATGGGTTCAAGGATGATTTTATTTCAAGTAAAATAATTAAAACACTTGCTTTGAATGAAAAAATAAAACAAGATCTGGAGGCAAACTTTAAACTTACTTCAAATTTTCTCAAATGGCGTTAAAATGATGCAATCACATCTATGCTGTAATGAGAAAAACAATTATTCACACTTGAATGCCTCCAATCATCAAATAAATATATAAATGTTAACTAAACTAATATGTTTTAAACAAGTGTAACATTGATTTATTACAAGTAAAAGACCTCCAATCTAAGCTAGTCTTTTCAATTATGAAATAACTATATTTTTAGAAAGATTACAATAATTTATTTAAACTATTTTACTACCAGAAATGTTCAATCAATGAGTCTCTTAAATCAAACCTGCTTCAAAACCTTAAATATCTATCCTTATCTATCTACTTCAACAAAGCGTGTCTTAATAAAAGGAAATATTAATGAAACACATAAGAAAAAACACATCACATCTATCAGTCTGGAAGCTATTTGCAATGTACTGGGACTTCAGTAAACCAAGGTGAGAGCCATATTTCCCAAATGATGAAAATCGAGAATACCGGTAGTCAACCTTCTCAGGAACGTTACCCTTCCAAGTGGAGAAAACTAACCTAAGTACACAAACAAAATCCCCTTTGAATGACCCAAAAAGGAAAAGCTAAATGCAAAGCTAAATTAGCTGCCCAGACAAAGCTTAAAGCTGCTGTCATACAGCCATAAACAGGCTGTAGCTGTTTGAAAATCCTCCATCTGGGTTAAATTACAATATATCTGCAAAAGCAAATGTGTGAAAATCTTTGGCTGTGCTGTAAAAGACTCAATGACTGTCGTTGCAAACTTGTTATTAGATTTATTTATAGGGACAGGTTGGTTTGGGTAGCTTTCTCCCCTCAATAAATGAAATAATGATTTTGTTTTAGAATTTTACATAAACCTTTAGCATCAACAACAGAATATATCTTTAAAGAAGTATATACTTATACACCAAGATTTGGTCAAATAGTCCTCGGAGAATTGAAATTGAGATTGGAACTTTTAAACGTATTCCACAAGCTTTTGGAATTAATCTTATTAAAAACTGGAGCCTTTATCTTGCCAAAATTCATACTCTTTATTTATTTATTTGTTTATTCATTTATTTATGTGATGGACTGTACTGTTTTCAAGTTTAGTGAACAAATGTCTAATTACTTTAAGTTTGGCGTTTGGGGATTGCATTGATTTGTCACTGTAATTAATTATCATTCTAATGTAATATCCAATGCTACCCCAGTTTTTAACAATGTGATTTAAACTCTACATCAGATGACAAATAAGTGGGAAGAATGGTTAGAAACCAACCAAAAATCACCAAGGCTTAAGCCTGTCATAAACGGGAAAATTCTGAAACACCAGTATCAGGTTTTACATCACCACAAAGTGAGAAGATACTAACCAAGATTTATATTTATATTCTTAAGCTCATCAAAAATGCGCAGCTGCCTAATTTTGCCTTTGCTGTAAAGATTTTTGACAAATTAGCCATTCTTCTAAACTTACCAGAGGTTTTTGTTTTTATTCAAATTGGTTATTTAAATCTTTCACTCACAGTGTAGCACATATACTTTTTTATTTCACATATTTTTCTTCTCAAATTCTTTTGCACAATCGTATTCGATGTACCACATCCATTTTAAAGTTTGGCATTTCTTAGGACACTCTTTGTCATGTGTCTGCTTGGGCCAGCGCCTACTTCTATTGTCTGATAGTCCAGAGATTTCTCAATGACCTTCTGTCTTGTTCACACAGAGACGGTCTGTCTGCTCTCAGATCCATTCATTTACTCTCACTTCTCATTCTTTTTGTCATTTCTCCTCCTTTTGTCCCCATTTTCGTTTTCATTCTTTCATTGCCAGGTGGCACAAGAACATGCTGGTTCCATATCGAAAGCAAAACTGTTTCCCACGAGCAAAAAAATTATAATAAAAATAATAAAAGGAACAACATTCAAATATCCATTCTATTTAGTATTTTTCTTTAGATTTAAAGCTTTTAGTTTGACCACTTAAGGAAGAGGAGTCAGTGGATTTATTGAGCAGTAAGAAACAAAGAACGTCATGTCCACTGTAAAATCCAATACAGACCCATTTAATAAATTAGAATGTTGTTGAAAGGTTAATTAATTTTTAGTAGCTTAATTCACTAAGTAAAACCTATTATATAGATTATTGACACACATTTTCTGCTTACAGTGAACAAAAACAATGCATTTAAGACAGGAATATTACATCAAACCAATAAAAACATTTGTTCTAACAGGTTTAATTTAAAACAGTAAAAATATCTTACTTCTTTCACTTCTAATATAATTGCGTATTATTGTCGTTATTTTGATTTTAAATTAAATATCATTGAAAGGTCAATCCAACTCAAATAATTAATAATAATTTCTAAATTATATTTAAGAGGATTGTTGCTGCAAAAAGTGTAAAATTACCTGTAAATGAATCAGTAACATATCAACTCTAAAGAAATAAGTAAAAAATATTCAGATACAATAATAACTTGTATAAATTAGGTAAAACAAGTAAAACACGAGTTAAAAAGTTCTGGTTAACTAGAAAAAGCCAAGGAAGGGAAAATATATAGAAAGTTAAAATATGGACTGAACCATTTTGTCTTTTGCTCTAAATGAAAGCTGCGAGCCTGTAGCGCGCTGCTACTTGTAGTATATAAAGTAGCTTTATCAGAAAATGTTTGTCAGTAACATGTTGTGTTTCTCATGGTTGCAGCTATTTTCAAACCACATTTTCCTCCTTTTTGCCAGTGAGAAAAATATGTGGTTGCCTTCTTTCAGTCAGCTCACAAGCAGGTCACAGCAAGAGATGGAGCTGGAGAAAGCTTGGGTGGCTTCTCTCCTTTATTTAGCATTTCCTTAGAAACCGTTAAAACTGCAGGAAGAGTTTTTGAAAATTGAGCTTTCTTAAAACCTATGAATATCTGGGGCAGGCCTTCCGCAGCATAACAAGTTAGAAGTTTCCAAAGTCATGAGCCTTTTTCCTTCCTTCTCTCTTCTGTGCAGTTTGTTGGGGTCGAAGGTCTGATAACAGGAATCATGGACATGTTGCCTCCTAAATCTGCCCTCAGCTCTCTGAGACGAGAAGTAGTTGCTGCCATCTGCTGCGTCATCTGCTTCTTTATTGACTTGTCCATGGTCACAGAGGTACTGAAAGACATTTTTTGTGTGTTTAACTCATATTTTTTAATCATAACTTAGTATTATTAGCACTTTAGACAGTTAGAATACGGCACATAAACTATTTAAGTGCCGCATTGAAATGTGAACTCCATCATAACAAAGTTTAGGTGAAAACTTTTTCTTCCCTATTCTTTATATCAGCACTGCTGTATAGTCTTTTATTCTTTTTTTTTTTTTTTTAGCTTTTTTTAATAGTATAACGATGTCTTATCCTCTACTGTCTATATTATGTTCTATCTATACTGTGTTTTTTTTTTTGCTGTTGACAAAATAGGAGTTTTCTATTTAGTTGTAAATGTTTTGATGCTAACTGCTCTTTCTGGTTCTGTCAGGGAGGGATGTATGTATTCCAACTTTTTGACTACTACTCTGCCAGCGGCATCACCCTGTTGTGGCAAGCCTTCTGGGAGTGTGTTGTGATCGCCTGGGTTTATGGTGAGTTAATACCTTGCACCTCCAGCAGAGTCAACAGAGACTGCACCGCTGGGTGGTTCAAAGCAGTTTCCTTGTATCACCCTTGGCAGGCGCAGACCGTTTCATGGACGACGTGGCCCGTATGATTGGCTATCAGCCCTTGTCCTACATGAAGTGGTGCTGGTCCTACATCACGCCCTTTGTCTGCGTGGTATGTTTGGCGTTGGATCCTTTCTGTTTGGATTTTCCTATTCAAAGAAAGTTAATGGGGTTTATATGTTTATTCAGGGAGTGTTCCTATTCCATGTGGTGAACTACAAGCCTCTGACTTACAACACAGTTTATACCTACCCAATTTGGGGCGAAGCACTTGGATGGGCACTGGCTCTTTCTTCTATGCTCTGTATTCCTGTTACTGTTCTCTACAAGCTGCTCCGATGCAAAGGATCCCTGCGGGAGGTGAGATTTGCTCCTTGAGATGATAATTCTGTAAAATACGATAATTATGGCTCTTTGAATATAAAAGAAGCTAGAACATCTCCCTGATTCAAAGCTTATAATTTTTTTGTTTATTTTCTGCAGCGGTGGCAGCACCTAACTACCCCTGTCTGGGGCAGACACCACCTGGAGTACTTGGCGCCAGAAAGCGAGGCCAAGCTGCTTCCTGCCGCAGAAACAAAGAGCACCCTCCTCTTTGAGAGTGTAATCTGACAACCCAAGCCTTGATCCTGTAGTCACATGTCCATAAAAACACACAAACACTGCATAGGCCAAGTCTGAACTAGAAACAAATCAGTGAAATATGCTACAATTTTAAATTTGCATAAATAATAAAAAAAGATCATGGGTAAATGGACCAAAGAAAACACTGGAGAAGAACTGAAACACACCTGCATTCATGAAGTCACATCTTCTGCTCTGTTCTTTCACTCTACCTCGCTGGCTTTCTGCTCTCTTCCCGTTTCGCTGTCCTCCTGACTTCGTGCTGTCTCGTCCCTTCTCGTATTGTGGCTGTAATCTTTGTCCACCATAGCTGCAGTAGCTCCCCCTTCTGCACCCTTCTGTCAGTATTTATAAAGCCTCAGCTGGCCCCTGGTCATCAGGCCATTTTGTTCCACATCAGCTAAAACTTTATACATAAAAAAAAATCATGTCTGCTGCTGAAATCCCATCATCCCAGTGTGTATGTGTGTAGCTGCATGTGTGCCCATACTTGTGTATCTGTACATGTGTGGGCATCTGCATGAGTATGTAAGGAGTGCGTGTATTGGACCATGGCAGTGTTGTCTTCTATTATGTCACATTGCCTTTGGACAGTGATTTCTGCCAACTGCATTCAATGCACTAAGTGTAACAAAAATGACTTCCATTTGTACAAAAAAAAATGAAAAAGTTGTAATCACAACAAGACAATGCCTCATCACTTCCAGCTATGTATTATTAACTTACTATCTTGTGTATTGTAGGTCTGTGAATTAGTGTTACTTTTCAAGGGGGTTAATGGTGATCATTTACCGATTTAGAGAAGGAGAGACACATCCAGCTAAACTGTGTACTAAGCAGAAAGAGCAGCAGAGAGAGTTGTGGGGACGGTACAGTGGAGAGGCAATAAATGATCAGATGAAAGCAGATGAACTGTGTTGTTTAATATCTTTATTTCTTTGTTTTAATTTTGTAAAAATGTCAGATATATATACATATATTTTATACAGCCATATACTGTTTAATACAGTCAGTATTTTCCTTTAAAACCTGCAGTTTTGAATCTTATGCTTGTTTTCTATCCTCTGATAGAATATCTAAGTACTTTCCAAGAAGCAGAGTTTTCAGAGTACAAAGTGGTTATTTTGAAATGGTAACAGGAACAAGAAAGTATTTTAAAACAGCTTTTAATTCAAAACCAATAAAATGATATTGACATTTAATGTTTTCCAGATAAACTGGTGAAAATGAGTCCATGGCATGTCCTAGCCCACCTAATCAGGTGTATTTTATAGGGGGAGAATGTTGTAATTTGCTTTAAAAGAAAGGAGATGGCTTAATCCTCATTGTAAATAAGTTCAAATCATTCCGGCATTTTTTTTTGTTGAAAATGGAAATACCGGTATGTATAACATGAAAGTGTGTTTAAAAGGTAATTTAGAAATACTTCTACATAGAAATCCCTATTCTAACTTTGATGGAGATATTAATATTTAAAATATCCTTTTTTATATTTTCTTGGCTATCTAGTCTTTTGAGGTTAACATCTTTTTTTAAGTAACTGCTTGATGATAAGTGATAAAGTTTATAAAATACACTAAACCACATCTCTCAGATAAGTCTTATCTTATAAATACATAGCAACAGCCACAAGTAGGATACTGACTGCTGTCAATTCCAAAGAACCCCACTTCGAAACAACCAAAAGCATAGTTTTATTACTTCTGCAGCTGTATGGAAATAAGGAAAAACTGAATATGTGACTCATTAACTATTTCTGCAGGTTGATCATTCATCTAATGAGTGTGATAAGGAAGTCATATTGTCTTACATGGAAGACGTTTCTGATAATGTCTGATCAGTGTACTTAAAGTAAGCATGTGATTGGACCTTCAGACTTCTGTACTTATAAATATCTTCTAGAATAATATATATAAATATTTACTCATATCTATGTATGTAAAAGACAGGTATCCTTTGGTGATGCGTTGAACTTTTGGATGGAAGTTGATTTAATAGTTTGATCTGTAAGCTTAAAGTTAGGGCTAGTCTTATCCAAAATTGAAATATAAATGTTTCAAAGAGGCCTCTGCATTTGAATGTAACAGCTTAACGCCTAACCGTCCACATGGGAGCAAAGGGAAATATAAAGTTTAGACTTTAGATCTGCTCAGCGTGGTTTCATCAGTCATAGCTGCTGTGATTGACTGGTAGATTTCATGCTTTCTTTTCTAAAGTGTAAACTGATGGGCACACAGCACCATGAGCCTCCATTTACACCCAGCTTCTCTCCCGCTCTTTGCTCCTTCTCATGAAGGCCATAAAAACAGAGTCTCATTAGTCCCGGGTTACATTCTCCCACTCATCCCCCACCTTCCGCCATCTCTCACACGCAGCACCACACAGAGAGAGAGCCGCAGTGACGTATTGCTAGCCGTCTCATTATACCATATCATAAAAAGCTGGTCGCCACGGCAACAGATCCCTGTGTTTCCCTGGCAACCGGCCGCCATGTCAAGGTGGCGCGTTTCTCCCCCGCTGAATGAGGGGGGAGGAGATCATGGCAACCAATGCAGAGCGATGAAACATGGAGAGAAAGAGGGCGAGCTGAAGATATCTGGATTTGAAAACTCACGACCCCTGCTGGTCACATCTGGGTATCATATGGAAGGTCCTAAAATAAGAAAGATGTAAGCCTTTACGTCAGGATTGATAATGAAAAGGATGTAATTTGAGGTGTTTGGAGGGTGATAAGTGTTTCACTCACAAGCGCGATCTCCACCTTTTCCTGTTTCTCGAGAATATGAAGAACTGCATCATGAACCGAGACAAACAGCAAGTTCTTTGGGATGGACTCTGAGAAGAAGTTTGCCCTCTCCATCTGCTCCACCACACAGCCTATGTTCATAGCACATAAAGATAGGACAGGGCTCATGATTTTAAGACATTGATACAATAATATTCACATATATTATCGTATATGCTTGTGTTATTTATTTCTTTATGTCTCTCCTCTTCCTTTTTAATGCACCCTTTGGAGGAATGTTGTCTGGTCATAAATGTAACAATTACAGTAAAGGTGATTCAGATTGGCTGCTCAGTGGAACAGTGGGTAGGGTTTGAGAAGGTCTGGGTTTGATTCCCGGCCCAGGGTCTTTCTGCATGGAGTTTGCATGGTCTCCCTGAGCATGCGTGGGTTCTCTCCGGGTACTCTAGCTTCCTCCCACAGTCCAAAAACATGACTGTTAATTGTCATGTTAAATGACTGGTTAATTGGCTTCTCTACAGTCCCCTCATGTGTGAGTGTGTGTGTGAATGGTTGTTTGTCATGTTTGTCTCTGTGTTGCCCTGCGATGGACTGGCGACCTGTCCAGGGTGTACCCCGCCTCTCGCCCATTGACTGCTGGAGATAGGCACCAGCACCCCTTGCAACCCCACTCGGGGTAAGCGTGCTAGAAAATGGATGGATGGGTGATTCAGATTCTTCCCATCAAAGGATATTATCATGATATAGTCTGCTTGACCTTCAAGTAATATTCTGAACAATGTGGCACAGCAGGGGTTAAGACCTTGATGCATTCGTTTACTATCAAGACTTAGTGTCTTTGATTCTCCATTGACACCAACTCTATCTCTGTTTTGTCTACTGTATGCTTTACCTTGACAGCCAGCTAGATAGATTGCCACGCCAACGTCTCCAAAATCCCTGAAAATCTGAAATAAGAACAAAACTTCTTTGAATGGTTGTCAATCTTCTCTTAATGAACTATTGAAGGAAATCCCTGCCCTGGACAGACATACGTTTTTCAGTGTATTTACTGTGACCGTGTCCACAGAGCTGGTCATTGAAACATCCAAAATGATGCTGTGGGTGCCAGATCTGCAGTTGCTGTTTTTCCACTCTTCCACTGATTGTGATACCGCAGTAATATCCTCATATGTGTCTGAATCAGAGTCTGATGTTATCCTGTCTGCATGATAAGCCCAGTTAACATGGCCCTTCCCAGACAAGTTTGGAACCGTGCTTGTCACGCTCAAAACCATGCCATTCTGACTATTCTTCCTGTTATTCAGCTTCTGCCAAAAAGTGGAGGGAAAAGATTACAACATTTCTATTTGACTCGGTATAACATTAGTTCCAGCAAACATACATTTTTCTTTGCTTCATCTTTTTCCTTTTTCTTCTCTCTCTGTTGTTGACGCCTCTGTTTGGCCTCCTGTTTCTTCTTCTCGGTGTGCAGCTTTCCAATGTCAATTCCGCTCTGCACAGATTAAGTCAGAGAAGGAAAAAATGAACCAGGAGGGAGAGCTAAGGAAGCCAGCAGGGCTGATGTTACCAGCAGAATCTCCTGGACACACCTTCTCTTGAAGTGACTCCAAGTACATTTCGGAGTTTGTGAAGTTGATAGTGGCAGAGGAGCGGAAGATTTTGATTCCTGGGATCTCTTTAGCCTACATGGAAGCAAGTTTTAGAAAAAGAACACAGTTTTATCATTTTGTGTGTGTATGTGTATCTAAAACATACAAGCTAGCCTAATGAAAACCTTTATCTATCGAGGCAAACTGAGACATAAGTCTCCCAATCAACTCTCTCCAGCTCAATCAGGTATATTCTATAATATTCCAAGGATTTATGTGTTATATAAATCTTCCCCAGAGAGTTCAACAAAAATAAAAACAAGGATTTCACTACCCTATTAAACTTATAGCATAGCATATATACCTATTAGATAGAAGTATGAAAAGGGTCAATTCCTGGTAAGAGATACTTGTTCAGAAATTGAAACTGCTGAATACAAACAACTCTTCCCTAAACTAAGTAAATAAGACCGTTATGACCTTTGGCCAAATTTCCTCATTGATTCTATTTTTTTTTCCATTTATTAAAATATATTATACGTAGATGGCGCTGCGCATGCAGCAGCTTGTTATGTCGACCCCTTGCTCTCCTTTCTTTGGAATGTGAGTACATTTCTCCACTGTGGGATCAATAAAGTTAGTCAATCAATTGATCAATCAAGAAGATTGCTCTGGAGCAATGATGTTACCTCTTTGTAAGCCTCTATGTCCAGATAAAGGTCTGTGCCCGGTACATTGCCCAAAATTGAGTACCTAGGTCTGAAACATGTAAAAACAACATAAGAACAAGCATCTTGTTGCAGTGTTGCACCAACTGGAACATTGAATAATCTCTATCAAGGAGTATGATCAAAGATGTGTTGTTACAGTTGTGTTTTGAAGATGACTGTGAGTATGGAAAAGCCAATGGAGACAGCCAGACCCATGTCCAGGTTGAGCAGGATGGTGCTAACAAATGTGACCAGCCACACTAGCTGCATGACAAAGACATCAAAAAGTTTTCAGCAACAGCCGCTCAACAGGCAGTATTTAAACCAAACTGGAAGATTCAGCCTCACCAAGTCAACCTTGTTAGTCCTCCACAGCAAGGGCACGTCCATAAACTGCTTGAACATTCCTTTCAGATTCACAAAAACGATTGTAGATAAGACGGCCTGAAGAAACAAAGATAAATTCAAAATAAACCCACAGCTTTAATAAGTGGGAATTTAGATTGATGGTAGGTGTTATGGTGATGAACCAGATTTAAGTTTGTCCCGTTTCACAAACCCAAACAAGGTTACTTGTTAGTGAAAAATAATTCAGTCCAGATTCTTAAAATAAATATTTGCATGTTTTTGTTATTCTAAGTCTTGATGCAAAAAGTATGCTTTTGTTGTTTTGATTAAAAAGAATATATTTAATCAATCTCAAACTGTTCTCCAAAGAATCGACTGGAAATGATCCAAACAACTGAAGATGATTGAATACAGATTTTTCAAAATAAGTGCAACGGCCCACCAATTTAATTCTGATTGGGAAACTTGGATCAGATGAGGATACATCCTTTTCTTTATGAACACATTATTTCAACACTCGTATATTATATATATTAGCACTATTAACACCTGAGGATTTAGTTGAACCCAAAGAAAGTAACCAGTGGTACACTGGTGAAGGTTCTCAGTCATCCAGGTCATAGTCATTCCAAAAAAGAAGTTGAAGACGTTTCGCTTCCCATCCAGTAAGCTTTTTCCATTAAAAATGTCAGGAATAGCGTTGAGTTTGAGGTTTTATACAGTAGGCCAACAAAGCCTTGTTTTTATTTTGAAAACATGCAAATTGGAACAGGCGAAGGTGTCCACCCATTGGGAATGAGGGTCATTTGGCTGCTTTTGTTAGACTGCAATGCCCAATACCCATCTAAGTGTCTTAAAGGTCGGTCGTTTAAGGGGATTTTTGGCCTGGCTAATTAGACGAGGGCCTCCACTCTCCTGTACAGGGGATGGGGAAGATTTTAACTCAATTGCTGGCAATGGCTTCCTTTGCGCCCCACTCAAACAACCTATTTTCTTTATCCAAAATGTGACCATTCTGGTCCTCAAAAGAATGTCATTTGTCCATAAGGTGTAGATGTACCACAGAGTCTTGTCCAGAGGAGGTAGCTCTTCTGTGTTGGGCCATGCGTCTGTGGAGAGGTTGTTTGGTTTCTCCAATATAAAGATCAGAGCATTCCCCACTGCACTGAACTGCATACACCACTCCACTCATATTTGGTTTGTTTTTTTTTTTCCTTAGGATGAAATGTACTGGGATTTTGTGTTTGGAGAAAATCCTCTTGAGTTTTTCAGAGACTCCAGCAACATATGGGATGGCAATGTTTTTGCATTTTAACTTCTCACCGTTGTGTTTTGCTGCGTGTCTTTTGGATTTCCTTGCTGATTTGACAAACACCCAGGTTAGGGTATCCACCGGTTTGAAAAGCATCTATGATGTGTTTCTGTTTTTGTGCTTTACCTCTGTTTTTGTGCTTTACCTCTGTTTTTGTTGGGACACGCTCAGCGTGATGTTGTAAGGTCCTGATGACTGACGGTTTGTGTTCCAGTGAGTGTTGTAAGTCAAAAAGAACATACTGATCTGTGTGAGTGGATTTCCTATAGAATTCAATGTTGTAAGGTCCTGATGACTGGAAATTTGTGTTCCAGTTGGTGGTGTAAGTCAGCTTTGAAGAGCATTTTTGATGTGTTTCTGTTCTTTGTGCTTCCCTTCTGTTTTTGTAGGGACACGCTCAGCGCGATGTTGTAAGGTTCTGATGACTGACAGCTGTGTTCCAGTGGGTGGTGAGTCAAAAAGAAGATATTGGTCTGTTTGAGTGGATTTCCTATAGAATCCAATGTTGGGGTTTCCATCTCCTTCCATGCTCACCAAGCAGTCCAGAAAAGGTAGCTTGTTGTATGTTCACATTTTTGGACAACCAGCTACCTTTTCTGGACTGTTTGGTGAGCATGGAAGGAGATGGAAACCTCAACATTGAATTCTATAGAATTTCCACTCACACAGACCAAAATGTTCTGTTTGACTCACACCACCCACTGGAATGAATTGCAAAAGCTTCCTGGCTGGGAAGCAAAATGCGTTCAAACTTGGAAATAAATTCCAGTAGATTGTTTTGTAATTTTCTCTTTTGGAATAACCAGTGGTACATGCCTTGGGAAGGTCTTCAAACAGGGAGCCTATTTTCAAGACTGTGATGAGCACAATGACAGAGGAGACCACCCCAGCAACCTAAAAAAAGCAACAACAAAAAAAAAAAAACATGTGTAAATCTGCAACATCTAAAGCTGAGCATTTAAACTGAGCTCCTGATTACTCCTAGATTCTAAAGCAGCACCCTTTAAAACTTAACATAAACATTGACTTGACATGTGAGAAAGTCTAACATATATTTTTTTTCTTTATCCATGTGATCAAATTAAAAAAACATTTTTTTTACTTGTGTTTTCCCCCCGGTGCTCTCCTGTACAAGACTCCGAGACAACGAGGAAGTCACAGCGTAACAACGGAAAAACCCACCAATGGCGTTACAGAGACCAATAGCAACAAGCTCCTTGAAGAACAAAAACAGTCAAACAGGAGACAAAACATTAGTTTAATGTTAACCACCTTAGAAACTGGTTGATAAAAATCAATGCCTTTCAGAACAGATATATTTGATCTACATTTTGTTTCACTAGGGCCTTTCTGTATTCACATAGATGTTGCAACTTTTGTGGATCAATATCAGTGTTCTGTTTTATGTCTTGTTCTGGGGTAGTTTTCCTTACCACTATACTGAGAGCAGTCGCCAGCAGTAGATTAGAGACATTTGATCATGTAAAGCTTGTTGAGCATGAAAGATTTAACAGGCCCATTTAGTTGTCTGAGTGCAGTGAATCTACTTCTCTCCACAGCAACACATTCATAGACCAACATACATTAGAGAACATGCATATGCTGCTAAGAGTTCTGACTAAAAGGACTTCAGCTTAGCAGGAGTAATTTTATTGGAAAATTATTGAGATAAGGTAAATTCTTTCTATGATAAGACAATGATTTTTAAGCCCTGGTCAAGGTTTAATGATTTTATCAGAAGACAGTAAAAAATAACAACTGGCATGATGGGACCCCGACTCTTAACTTGACTTATATATAGTTGTTTTATCTAATGTATCAACTGTCCAAAACCTATTCAAATCTCATCTGTTGTATTTTATTCAGACTAGATAACTGAAAGCTTAACCTTTACTGAATTTAGTATAAATTACAACAATGATCACATGATAGCATTTTTTGAAATCTGCTTTTTTTCATAAAAGGCAGACCAGAATGGATGTTATGCAGTGTTGAATGTAATTAGAATATGGATGGTTCAAAATCTAGAGGCAAAGTGGGAATGAGACAAACATTCTGATTTGAGGTATAGATCAAAAGACCTTTGAAAAATTAGACTGTTCAATATTAATGTTATTTTACTGAAAATCAGTGTAAACATATAGGTGCTTTAATGTTGTGATGATTGTCATTATATTAACTAATGTACATTCCTATCATGTTATGAGCTTTATTGCTGGAAACCATATTAATAGCTTTAATGTTTTAATTTAGTATTAATCTAAAATAAGCCTTGAAAATATGTGAAATTTTACAGTGTCTTGCAAAAAAAAAATTATACTACTGGACTTTTTTCTCTTTCATGTTGTTAGAGCTTGACACTGATTTATTCTATTGGGATGATTGACCAACACAAAGTAGAGTATAATGGTAAAGGTTAAAGAAGTGTTTAATGTTTTAAGATTTATTTATGGTAAAAATTTAAAAATAAATGATGTGCAGTGAATTAACATTTTTCACCCTTTACTCTGATATGCCTAACTGGAATACAGTGCAGCCCATACAGTGCAAACTCACATAAACAGACTCCAACAATGTTACTAGAGACATACTGGTGTGTCATGAGGACCATGGTGCTCACCAGAGAGGTTAGTGATAAAGCTGTGAAGCATTGGAAAGCAGAACCTGTTTTATAAAACACTATTCCAAGCCTTTGATGTTTTATGAGGCAGAAATTAGAGTAATGAGGATGGGATAATCTGCAACCATACTAAGATATGGTTCAACTAAACTGACAGGCAAGCAGAGAAGTAGCCAAGAGTCCAAAGGCAACTCTGGAGACGCTGCAGAGATTCAAAGCTCAGAAGCAGATGGGGATCTGTTTATAGGAAAACTATTATTCATAAAGTCTAAATATATTGCCTTTATGGAAGAGTGACAAGAAGAATATCAAACAAAGATGTAAAATGTCTGATAAGATACAAAATGAATGGTGGAAAACCAACAACACACATCATCCCGAACTCACCATTTACCAACAGGGGGAAAAATGGTGGGATGCTCTTCTTCAGCAGGGACTGCACTGTTTGAAGTATTTATTGGAAAGCTAGATGAAGTTGACTAAAAGCCAAATTTAAAAGAACATCTGTTAAAGGCTGCGAAATCAACTAAGGTTTACTTTTCTGCATAATAAGTATTTTGAAGTGATCACAGAATACAGTGTCCGAATAGTTCAGTCAACAATCAGACCTAAATCCAAGAAATAATTGGCAAAACTTTTAATCTTTGGTTTTGCAAAGTTCTTAGAAACAGACTCCAAAAGAGCTGCAATTACAGCCATACTTGATCCGTCAGCGTATCGGTTTAGGTGAACTGAATGCAAATTGCTGTTTCAGATTTTTGCCATTGAGACTTTAAAACCCATTTATGTCTTTTCTTGTAGTCGTAATACTTTGTGTTGCTCCAACAGGGCAAGATATGAAAAATCTGAAGGTGTATCAATAGTTTTGCAGGACACTATATAGCAGTGGAGTTATTTCTGCCTGTGCTCTCAGGAAGATCAGTCATTTTTTCCACAGGCGTGACAGTCATGAACAACTGTGAGTGATCAAGAGCAAACTCTAATTTCAGTGCAGTGATTCAGTGTCATTGAAACTGTCAGCTGTTTGTGGGTATGAACTCCTCACCTGGTTGCTGTCCACCTTGTAGCCATGTTTGAGGCCGAATGTTTTTCCCAGAGAAATGCTGATGGCGTAGCCTACTATTGCCACAGCAAAAGCATCACCTATAATCTTTGAGAACAGAGTTGTATCAGGAGCTCGGGGGACCTTGAGCCTAAAGAAAGAGAAAATCTGTTTGGTTTTTGTTCCAATAAAAAAAGAGATTCAGTCATTAACCTTTAATTTCACCAAAAATGCATCCTATGATTTAAAAATGTCTTTTTATTTTGATTTTTTTTTTAGTATTATGCTTGTTTGGAGTTTTTCCTCAAGGTTTAATCAGAAACTAATATTTTTCTACTTCTTATCAACATTGTCCTGTCCTGTCTAGCAGGAAATGAGAAACTGTTTTCACTTCTGTGTAGGCTCCTGATTTCTTTCTCTTTTGCCTAAAAGTTTTCCACATTTAGAAGAGACACAGAACTCACCCACTGGGAATCTCCCCAACAACATCAACTAAATATTCACTGCGGAGTCCACAAAAGTAGGTTATGATTGTTGCTCCAACAACCTGGGGGGAAGCAATGGCAAACAGGATTCTGGTTTAAAATTAGAACCAAGAGTAAATCATTACTTTGCTTACTTATACAGGACTTCTTTTTGGAAAGTTCCTAACAAGCTTCTGATTGGCTCAAATTTATGGAAATGCTACCCTCTGGTGGACTTTTAAAGAAAAACAGCAGCAAGTTAAAGCAAAATGATTGATAATACTTACAACTATGAGCTCAATAGGGATTGGTAATGGCAGCTTCCGTCTGTAGCAACCATTGATTTCTTTAACAATGATTAGAATTGTAAGAGACACTAGACTGACCACCAGCTCTGGGACTCTTGTCTGAGGCAGGAGTTTGCAAATGTCCACTATAGTCTGTGTAAAAGACAACAATAAACACAATAAGTGTTATCTACTCTGCAGGTAATCATAAGGTGGTGTTTTTTGCGTGCTTTGAAATGATCAGATATTTTAAAGCTTGCACAAAATATTCTAACTGGAAAAGGAAGTAAAAGCACTGATTACAACCGTAACTTAAAGAAAAACGGAGGAAAGAAAGGAATGTGTTTTTCATCTCTCACATAAATAAGGGAGAGAGGGCCAGTGAAGCGATCTGGTGTGACTCCAAACAAGTATTTCAGCTGAGAGACACACACGTGGCATGCTGATGCCGTGGTGTAGCCTCGAACAAGCGGCTCAGAGAGGTAGGTCACCACGAAACCAAACCTGACCACCCCCAGCAGAATCTTAGGATGGAAAATAAGAGAGGAAAATCAGTTTGGATGATTGTGCTCAGACCAAACAAAGACAGAGAGACTCACCTGAAAGATTCCTGCCAGGACTGTGAGGGAACAGGCCACCTGCGTTCTGTACGAGTCTCTTGCAGTGATGTCCAAACCCTCTGTACCATTGGTACCATTTACATAAAAACTACTGTCTGGTGCAAGCTTCTCTGTCACACTTCCAACCATGATGCTGATCACAGCAAATGTCCCTAGACACACACAAAAAAACAAAAACATACAAAAATCCAGGTATTAATGCAGACATTTTCACTCTCAAAGATATAAAGGGTCAACAATGATTCGTCACTTGAATATTTCCACTCACCCACAGAAATGTGCCTGGAGGTGCCAAAGATAAAGTAGACCAGCACCGGGTATAGGGAGGAATAAAGTCCCAACACAGGGCGTAAGGAGGCCAGAAGAGCATACGCCATGCCTGATGGAGCAAACAATGAAAAGTATTACTAGAAGATTAAATGCTTTACAGATTCCTTATTTTATACATGCATTATTACAAACCCTGGGGCAGATGCATGATTCCCACACTACAGCCAGAGATCAGGTCACCAATTATATTTTCTCGAAACGGGTATTTAGGCAGCCAGGCTAGAACGGGTATCCAGGTCAGGACTATGTCCTTCAGCCGTGGCACAGAACACCTACAGCAATGAGAACAAAAACACAAAACCTTTTTCTTTGCTTTGTTTTGTAAGCGGAAAACTGCTTTTTGTCTTACTTATAAGATGCAAGAACAGGTGCATATTTCAAAGGATACTGATACATTATACTTGGGAAATGTAGCAGCTGCAGCCATGTTTATCAGTTAGCCTTGTAAACAGTGGCACCAAAAGCACTGCTGTTCCTTTTATTGAAATAGTACCTACAACTACTGTTTACTGAATTAAGAACACCTCGAAGTGTATTAGTTAACACACTGCATAAAAGAGACATGGAATAAATCATAAATATTTTTTCAATCCCTTTTAGTTACATAGTTATAAATTACTTTAAAAAATAAAAAGAATCTTTAGCAAATAAAGGCCTTTAGGGATCCTACCCTCATATTTAAGTCCATAAAGTCCATTTACCTTAGCATCTCCTTCATCCGTTCACCCACAGTTGGTTTGTGGGTCCATTTCCCTTTTTGTGCAACCACATCCAAACGGGATTCATCCAGAACTTCCCTTCGGATAATATACTCCTGATGAGAAGAGTCTGCATCCTCCATATCCTTGTCTGTTCGTAGAGTTTTCTTTAAAACTGCTGGGTGTTTAAGTTTCCTGGTCTCTGCTGGTAAAAAAGAAATGTCTCAGTGCTAACTAAAACAGCTTGTTTCTTTTTAAACCGTGGGAGTGACTGGAACAGAAATCTAACTTGGTGAGTGGGAGTGACTGTTTATTTCCTGTCCTCAAAAGAGACATCACCACTCCACATACCTCTGATACGTGCACACACAAACACCTGCAGGCATATGTATGTGCTATGTGAGCATCCATGTGTGTTACCTGTTATGATTAACTTGGTGCAAACAAGCTGAGTGGCCAAACTTTAAAAAAGCTTAAAATTTGCTAAACTTGCAAGCGCAGCATTTGCGAGCAACTGAAATATTGAAGATAATTAATATTTTATCTATATACATTAAAAGTACTAACAAATAATTTTGAAACATTAGAATATCCACAGTTTTTGTACATATTTCACTACGTTTCTGTGGATGAATGAGAATTAAAATCTTATCTTTATGACCTCCAAAAATTTTCATCTCAGGGCCTGAAAGATAACAGATGACCCTGTGGGTTTATTGTTAGAGATGCTCAGACAGTTTTTCACGATCCAGTCCGATACCTGGGTGGAGGGTATCGGCTGATATCCGATGCCAATCATATTCAACTGTTGAATGAATGTACCATATGTCTAGAATGTGAGTGAAGGCTTTTAACCTTGACATAAACATTGTTATAAAAGGTAACAAATAAACACAGATATAAATGTAGTTTATATAATTAACTAACAAATAAACAGAAAAGAAAGAGCGGGGTCGCGAGGGGTGCTAGTGCCTATCTCCAGCAGTCAATGGGCGAGTTACACCCTGGACAGGTCGCCAGTCCATCGCAGGGCAACACAGAGACAAACAACCATTCACGCACACAGTCACACTTTAATGGACTGGGAATGGAAAGGACAATTTAGAGAAGCCAATTAACCTAACAGTCATGTTTTTGGACTGTGGGAGGAAGCCAGAGTAATCAGGTAGAACCCACGCATGCTCAGGGTGAACATGCAAACTCCATGCAGAAAGACCCTGGGCCGGGAATCTAACCCAGATCCTTCTTGCTGCAAGGCAGCAGTGCTACCCACTGCGTCACTGAGCAGTTGGTAGCACTGAGAATTAAATAAGTTTATTCCTGTTTTTTCCCATTGTCTTTTATGTTCCTTTCAACTATTTATAGGTGGCTTTCATTATGCTGGCTTTCATTATTGATTTTCAATCTCTTGTTCAAAATGTAGTGAAAACTTAGAATGATTTAATATTCCGTATATTGCTCTTTTTCAAAATAAATGAAAATACAGCTGGTGAAATGAGATGCTTGACACTGTTTTACCTCCAGAGCAAAGATGATTTATTTATTTTTTTTGCAATTCAAGTCCGTTTACAAATTTAGTTTGATAAATCTTTTAAATTTTTGGATCAGAAAAAAAGAAACTGCAACAATTGGTGGAATTGGAAAGAAATGCTAAATGACTTGTATAAAATGTGTAGCTTTAACTCAGCTAATCTTTAATCTATACTGAATAATTGGGTGATTGACATATTAACATCTTAACATCTTTTTGATTTAGGTAAGTTTTTTTTTTTTAGATTAATAAGAGTGAGAAGATGGGTGGATGGTATGGGGGTTCAAATGGAATGATGTGCAACAAAGAAACATACAGTGAATGTATGGAAAAAAAAAAAGGTAGCGTTTTGTTTACATTGAGGCATCTTTTTGTTTTGAACCACTTGTCTATGAATTAAAAGCTTTAAATATCACGAAAAATAATGTTTAAAACTACCCAAAGAAATTGAAATCTTACTGCAATGGTTTTATGCTTTTTGATTTCCTTTTACAATTATCTGAAAATAACATGTTTTAGCACTTTCTAGGACAAATCAGTTTATATTTTAGGCACTTTAAATTACACCACACAGCAAGTACTGCATGTTGATCTGTTATCAGACTAAATATTTTGTTCCCTTCTATTCAGTGACAACTAGTAAAAACTATTTTCTATTCAGGACTTGGGTAAAAGAACAACTGGCTCATAGAAAAAAAAACAAAAAAACAAGAACACATAGTAATAGATGAATGTTAGAGGAAACATTTCTCTACACATTAACCATTGTCCCTGTCACACACATGTAAATGTGTGATGTTAAAACTCTGGAACATTTTGATGACCAAGCAAAGCTTAGAGAACAACTTGTTTGAACTGAGAAAACATTAAATCAGACATTAAAAATGTAATGGTTGTTGCTCTGGATCTTAAAATGTTTTGTTAAACATTCTATTTTAGAAAAAAAGTGCATTCTTGGAAATTTCCATGCTGAAAGCAAAGAAAATAATTTTGAATCTCAAAACATTTTCTATGATCAAGTTTCCATTTTGTTTGAATTTGCCATGTCTTAATTACAATCTTTGTTTTTCATTATGAAATTTATTTAGCTTTTTAATATTAATGTCTCTATTGCTGTTGTTTTCTTATTTATTGTTGATAAAAATCGCAGTTAAAGTGATAGTTGCATACCTTTAGCCGTTGACACCAAATGTCAAAACACCTAAATAAAGCAGCATCTGCTTAGTCATAATGATGTTACAAATGTTGCCTTTCAGTCTTCACCTCTTACAAATTATCAACCACATTAACAGGGCTAAGCAAACACAAACATCCTAAAAAAGAAGCTGTTATCTGGAGTTTGACTTGTCTTCAGACTTTAGGATGCTGCCACTCACCTCCGAGCGGTTATCTAAAGCATCTCTAATCCAAAGCTAAATAATGGGTAAAGTCTGTTGCCTGCTTTGACAAGTTAAATAATAACATTTTAAAAGTCAGCCTGTTTTTTTCCCCAACCTTGAAGCTGAAAAAGTTATTTTGTATATAGATAAAAAAAAATATAGTGGGACTTCAAAGGTAGTCTCACCCACTGATTTTTTAAAAATATTCTGTCCAATTACAACCTTTATTTCTTTAATGTTTTATTTGTTTTGCTTTCCTCTCTAAAGCATGATGCTACCAGTACCCTATGTTATTATGGACACTGGGTTCTGGTGTTACTTTACAGGCGTACACAGAGTTTGGCATTTGGTCTACATGCAAAACAAAAAGTTACATCTTGGAATTTTCTGGCTAGAGCAAATCTTTCCTTTAACTCGTCTTTCCCTTTGAGACATAGGAAACTGGCAATTGTTTTTTAGTGAGGGCCAACATTGTGGAATGAACATCTAAAATTTGTCGTTTGAACAGAGTCTCCCAACAGAGCTGTTGATTTCCATAATTACTGTAGGTTTCTTGGGTGGAACTTTTCGAGCCTGGCCTCTCTTTTTCGGAAGATTGTCATATCATGGGCTGCATACTGTTGTCTTGCACATTAAATCTTCCGGAGATGGAGTTTAACCCTGTTTTAAACCTCTCCTTTACCTCTGCTATGCATCCTTTGGCCATCATGATGCTGTTTGTTTAATAACGTCTTTCCTCTCAGACCAAATTGCTCTATTTACTTCCTGGACCTGTCTACATTGATTTAAGGGTATTGGATTAAAGTGTGCAGAATGTGTCTGCTCATCATATTACTAGTTATGTGCTATCTACTTTCTGTTACTTTATTGATGGTTTATTTATGGACATCATTATTTTGGGAATGCTCTCATCAACAAAGGACTTTCAGCTCTCTCTGTTCCTCTTTTAAAGGTGTGGATTCTGACAAAACTATCACGACTCAGAATATAGGACCCGGTATTCAGCCAAGACAGTAAGATTACTCAAAAAGTGTTTATTAAGAAACATCAGGCTGCAGGGCTGCAGTAGCAGCGGCTAGGGAGTCTGAAGCAGGAAACTCTGGAGAGAAACAGGTTAGTGACCATATAAATCTAATGGAGGAAGATTATGAATGAGTCAGTCACCTGGTTTACAAGTTCAGTCCATAGCCAGAGAACGAGGTAGGATCCAGCCGTTGGGCTACATACAAGATGCGGTTGGTGCTGCCCAGAGTGTCCCAGATGCTGCAGCCCCTGAGAACATGCAGGAATCCAAAGCCATCTCAGGCAATCCGTTCAGATGAAAACAGGCAGGCTTGGTGGTTGAGAGGCAGCACAGGTCAGGATCAGGTAATCAGAAACACTCTGGTAAGCTAAAAACACTCTCACGACGAGATCAGACGAGAACAGGAAGGCTCAGAACAGGTCAGGATCAGGTAATCAGAAACACCAAGGGACTCTAAAAACAGTCTTACCACTGGCTGGAAAGAACAAAAATAATCTGCTCTGATGACTGGATGCAAGCAGCTTAAATATAGGCAGTAGCAGGTTGATCAGATTAGAGGTAATGAGAAAGCAGGCAGAGATAGACGGGGGAATGGAATGAGTAATTAAATTAGTCATCAGTGCCAACATCATGACAAAAACAGACACGATAGCATGAGCTATGAATGCGTTCTTCTACACAGCCATGTTTATTTTGTCAGATGTACATTCAGCACCTCTTGCTTTCCTCACAGCTATCCCGCCTTAAACCATAATGTTACGATATGGTTGGCCGACATTTTCTGGGTCGATCTTGAACATTTAAGCTGGAGCAACACAGATGGATTCTCATGTGTTATTTATCCTACTGATAATTGTTTTTAAATATTACGATTCGCAAATTTTTCTACGTGTGGATATTAGTTATTTACTTTTATTTGAGTTCCACTAGCTTAGCTAAGAGTTTCTATATCTAATATGTTTAGGCAGGAGTTAAATTATTTTTGCTACATTTACATATTTTAATTTGAAGTTCTGGTGATTTTATTTCATGTGTGGGCAGAATTAACTGTTGAATCACCCCCTCTGTTATTCTAAAACACAGCAAAGTGGGCTTGTGTCCACTGTACAACAAATGACAGTCCGAAAGTCATTTGATTAAATATTAAACAGCATAAACCTAAAAAATTGAACATAAACTGTGAGCTCTACACCAAAGCTGTTTGGCCATTGAATGTGTATCTGGAGATAAATCAATTTGATAAACCTGACCTGTAAAACCCTGCTTTGTTATGGTTCTCCCCTTCTGGGACTTAGTTAGACTTTAGTTTTCAGTTATCAGTTATTCTGTTTTGTTGATCTTTGGTTTATTTTACATTATATTCAAGCACTCTTAAGTTACTCTCTGTTGTCCCATTGTGACTGTCTCTTTTCCCCTAGATCCCTTCTAGGCTCCTCCATCCACACCTGCTCCATATCAGTTGATTGCCCCAGTGTTCTGTCTCCCATATAATCTCCCTGTGCAGTTCTTCATTGTTGGTTCCTTGTTGTTGTTTGTTGCTTCATTGTCTCTAACTCTCCACGTCCATTTCCCTGATAATAGCTGTTTTTTTTGTTCTCTGTATTTTTTATTTTTTGCATATTGTGGTCCTGTTCCACACAATTAAAAGGAAAAAGAGAAACAGGCAATCAGCATGAGTCTGAACTCATGATGTGTATCTTATTTCTTAAAAATAAGCAATGTGAATCTATCTAAATAGTTCTGCCTACCTGTCGGCCGACTTACCTACCTACATATACATATTTATATATTTCTGCTTAGGCCTCTTGCAAATATAAGATGTTGATCTCATTTGAATTTTCATGTAGGTAAATCAAAAGAAAGGAAGCTAATCTTTTAGTGTTCCTGTTTCATGTTTGGTATGGCTTTAGCTGTTTTTATCTTACACTAGGATCCTTTCTTCATTGTTTCTCTTCTTATGTTTCACAACTTTATTTTGACGCTCCTATAGATCAGCCTAGAGAGATTTAGAAGATGTTCAAAAAGACCTGAAGAAATAATTTTTTGTCCTGCCATGACACAGAAAGACTAGTGTTAGTGTGATCAAAACAAGTCAAAACTGAGGCCTTTATGGAAAAAAAAAATGTGTTTACAGGTCCTGATGCTCACAGGCTAAAAGCAGTTTGATTAAAGGGAGCAAGCAAGCATCACGTTTTCACAAATGTTCATGCTTGCACGTCCTGAAAATGTGTCACTGGCTAGTTCAGGATAGAAACTTTGCTCCTGTGGTTGTGGTATATAGCATGCTCAACTGTGCATGAAAACACTGTTAGCAAATAGTCACCCTGTAATGGCACTGTGTGGAAACTCTAGTCACCTTCTTTAAACTGTCGGGAAGACAGACACACATCGCATCACATCAAGTTGTGTGATAGTTCCCACAAAAAAAGAAAATAAAAAATAAATCAACTACCTGCTCAAAAATCTAATTTTGACGATCATTGTAACTTAATGTCTTTCAAAATCATTGGACAATAAATCAGACTTTGTTCTGCAAACTGTGACTGGGGCAGTTTAACATTATTAGAGCTACGTGATGTCTGCCCTGCTGTCTGCTGCTCTATGACAGGCTGTAAATGTTTAAATGTGTACCTTTATGTGAAAGTCTTCAAAGCTTTATTCAACAGTCTTGGAGGAGTTAATGCATATGCATGCATGCTATTTTTCTCCTTTCTCACCTTGTGGATTCACTCACTGATACTCATCAGGCTTTAGGTTTCGGTCAGCTGACTTTAGAAGCTAGGGTACTTAATCAATCACCAATTTCCTTTTTAAAAGAGAAAAGCCTAAGCATTTCCTTCTCTATTTCAAATGTAAATAAAATAGTTTTTATGCCATTTTCAAGGATGATTTATTCCTCCAAATAAAAATACTTCTCTGAGAAATCAGCTCTGCAATCTTCTCTTGAAATGCAATTCCTTATACAGTTGTAGACCTTATAATTAAAAAAGAAGGGCATTAATGTTCGAAGTAGAGGAAGCTGCTCATAAAGCTAGTAACATAAACTACACAGCAACCTTGCTTGCATGACATGATCTATTTTAAACTCGACTTATCCATGAGCTTGATATTGCCTGCTATGCCTTCCCAAGCTGCAAATAGCACACAGCATAAGTGCAGCAGACAAACAAAAACAAGCTTCAAATGTAGCTTTAAATGTGACAGCAAGCTGAGAAACTTCTTGGATGAGGGGAAATTCTTTGGAGATAGCTGGTAGGATAACTATATTTCTTTTTGTCGTCCCTAAATTTTCTAATAAAAAAAGTTCTGAAACATTTTTTTATTAATGCCGAACTGCCGGTGCATGTCCCTAAAAGTAACTTGAGCGCAGATTGTCCCACTGTTGGTTTGGCAAAGTAACTAGTTTAGAAAGGCCTCTAAAATCCAAAACCAAAACATCTTTAGTGACCCTTCAGGGCCAAGTCATCTACTCTGACTTGAATATATTCTGTGACTCTCTGGTTGCATATAAAGACTTTCTGATTTTTCCAACTTTCTACTTATGGAACATTGTTAGTTATAGTTTATTTTTCTGTTTTAAATTTTGTTTTTTGTCTATTTGTTAGTAAATGTCTACAATGCCCTGCAAATTCGCAGCAAATTTAACTGCAAATACAAAGAATAGATTCACAAAACAAAAATGAGACTAGGAAACACAAATTGAGACTAAAGTACAAAACGCATACAAAGGGAAAACACTGTAAAAAAGATATGCAACATCCATTCTTTTTCTGTCACGTTTTATCCCTGCTGGGGTCGCGAGGGGTGCTGGTGCCTATCTCCAGCTGTCAATGGGTGAGAGGTGGGGTACCCTCTGGACGGGTCGCCAGGCTATCGCAGGGGAACACAGAGGCAAACAGGACAAGCAACCATTCACACACACACTCACACCCAAGGAGAATTTAGAGAAGCCAATTAACTTAACAGTAATGCTCAGGGAGAGCATGCAAACTCCATGCAGAAAGACTCTAGGCTGGGTATCGAACCCAGAATCTTCTTTCTGCAAGGCTGTAGTGCTACCTACTGCTCCACTGTGCAGCCAAGAAATGCAACAATCACCGAAAATCAAGAAAGGCAAAGGAAAAATCCTGTAAGAAGCAGAATATAAATAAATCCAGAATCAGAATCCAGTTTATGTCTTTGCAACAGATCTGGGCCATAGACATATGGTCTATTCCCATGGGTGTTGATGATTGTCTACCCCTAGTGGTAGTATTTCCATTATGAAGAGCTAGTTTGCAGCTCTCTTCAAAACCTGCAGTTGTTTAAGCTACCTGCAGCATTTTTTCTTTGCATGTGTTTTCATCTGTGTAGGTGTCAGCATCATTCATGTACTGTATTTGCAGCAGTTTTTTGTATTAACAGATTACTCACCCACTTTTAAGGTGATTGCAGCATTCCTACATTACAAAAAAATCTACCTTTACATGTGTTTGTGTGTTGGTGTTATTGTGGTGTTTGCCTGTCTCATTTTTTTGTTTGCAAGCCTAATTTATTGTCTTTTCTGTATGTTATGTTTTTGGTGTGTATATACTTGCATTGCATTTACATCCCTCTTCCGTGGTAAACCTAACAATTTTTCCTGTTTATAATATCAAAGAACACGTGACTTGAGGGAAAATTATTGTGCACGGGTGCAATGATAACAAGCAGATAATATAATGGAGCAGGCCAAACCTGCTTATAACAGTTTTTGGAATTCTCCAAATGCCCTGGACAAAAGACTGAAGCAAGTTAAATGACATTTTATGTGTTCTGTTGAATTAAAACAGAATTAAAAGTTTTAATCTCTATTCCTTGTTGTTTTGGCATGTTTTACATAATACAGGTTCTAATCTTCCAACCTGACAGAAGTGTTGCAGGCATTTACAGCAAGCCCCTTATGGAGCCTGAGCTGCCGCCTTCTGCTCAGGGACAGCATGGGTCATTTCTGCTCAGGCAGCTTGACAGAATGAGAGCAGCTGGGGAACTCACTGACGTGGTCTTACAGGCAGAGGGTATTTCTTTCCCATGCCACAAGGTGGTGCTGTCTGCATTCAGCCCTTACTTCCAGGTGAGAAAGGCCTTCTGCAGGGCATAGATTTTAAAGATTTAAAAATACTATAAATGACTCTAACTGTATTTTGCAAAACAGTTTGAAGATGACATCCTAAGCAGGCTATGAAAGATGACTGATATCTACTTTGGTTACAGGCCATGTTTACATGTGGTCTGAAGGAAACTGGAGGATCAGAGGTGCCTCTCAGAGACATTCCTGCACAGAGCCTTGAACTGCTACTGAAGTACATGTATCTTGGCGAACTCCCCCTTTCAAATGACAACATCCAGGGAGTGGCTGCTGCTGCTTTCCTACTTAATGTGGATGGGGCTTTCAGGTGGGAGAAGAAACTACATTTTGAGTTGATTTATTTTTTTCCAGAAACCCTCCAATGACCATTATACAGATTTAATAATACTTGTGTTCCCATATTGGCTTCAGATTGTGTCAAAGCCACATGGAGGCTCACATGGATGCCTCAAACTGTGTTGGTCTGAACTTTTGGGCCAGAGACTTTGGTGCAACTGATCTAGCAGACTGTGCTTTGAGATACATTTGCCAACACTTCACGCAGGTGGAGCATTTTTTTGTCCACTGTTCTTTTATCTGGAGTTATCAGAAACTGTAACTGAAAAGACAATGACTGTTTTCTTTCAGTCCTTCTTTGTTTCATCTTGTTTTCTCTTGCTCTTTGAAGGTTTGTGAGGAAGACGAGGTGCTGGAACTTGATGCGCAGCGTCTCGGGGATCTTCTGAGTTCAGATGACCTCAACATATCACAAGAGGAACTTGTGCTTGAACTGGTTCTGCGGTGGGTTGAGAGACACAAGAACAACTTGCAGAGCGAAGCTCAGGCCGTGGAGTTACTCAGGCATGTACGTCTGGAGTTGGTGGATCCTGGATTTCTTCGCAAAGCAAGGAGGAGAAATCCGGTGAGATGGGATTAGTGAATAACGATCATATAATGAGCTGATTATAAAATATGTAAATTAATTGTAATCGTTAGATCATCAATATATGTAGACTTCTTTAACTTCAAAACAAACACCCTAGGTACTGCTACGGGATGCAGAGTGCTTTGGGATGATCGATGCAGCCCTCCAGACCTCAAGTCTCTGTGAGTCTGTAGCTCCACCACGTCCAACTCTTCGATATGGCATGGAGACAACAGATTTGCTGCTCTGTTTGGGTGGAGTGAACACCGAGGGTGTGCCGGCGAGACGTGGAGGAGTTGCCGACCAAAGTTTCTGTTTTGCACCTCGTGGTAGAAAGACCTACTACATCACCTCTCCGCTGAAAGACTTTGGAGGTCAGGGCCAGATCACAGCAGGAGCAGTGACCCGGAACAACAACATACTGGTGGCTATAGATGCAGAAGACCAATGCAGGACGAGGAGGCTGGATATCTACAAGTTAGGACAGTGCTTTTGGAAAAGTATTGATATTCTGGAAACTTCTTGGAATCACAAAGTTTTGCAAAATAGTACTATGAAAAGGGTAGCATGTATGTATTCACGCCTTTTTACCCCCCAAAAAAACAAAAAAAACAACAACTAAAAAACTCAAAAATTAACAAACTATGATGGAACCATATGTCTTTACAAACTTATAACAAAAACACATCCCATATGTGTGTAATTTAGATTCAGCAGTTCTCTTATTTGTGAACAAATATCAAAAATGAAAAGCAAGGAAAACGTGATAGGGCATGGAAAAATGTTTTAGAGAACTTTTAAGCAGCGTTTCAATCATCTACAAAAAGTCAATGGAGAAGCTGTAAAACTGTAGCAAAAAAAACCAACAACATTTTATTAAAAGAAAAGACATTAATTTTTTTTTTACTATTTTTTAAGGCTGCACTTTAAAAAAATGAAATTGTCCAGAGAGCTGTTCTAAACAAAATATCTTTTTGTTTTACACTTGTGTATACAAAATGACAAATCTGTCTAAGAAAACTTTAATTTGCATTTTACTTGAAATAATCTAGGACAGTAGTCCCCAACAATTATTCTGAAAACCCCAATGATGGCATGAACTCCTCATCCACCAAATGCAAGAAGCCTGTTAATCAATCATTCATATTAATCAAGCTTAAAGTAACAAATATAAGAAGACCTACAGGTATATAGAGAAGCTGAAAACAGATGCATGTCACACTTTTCATTCTTTAATTTTAAAAACCCATTTAGAATCATGCATCCTTTTCTTTCCCCTCTCAATTCAGTTATTTAACTGAAATCCTAATAAAATTTTAATTTCTAAAATCCTAATAAAATGCACCAAAGGAGGTGGTTGTAAAAAAAAAAAAGCCAAAATGTGCAAAAGGGGTATGAAAACTTAGCAGAGCAGCGAATGTGGAAATATCTCTAGTCATTTATCTTTTTTGCTATTGTAAACATCTTCATTGCATGTCTTTTTTTTTCCAGATACAGTAATTCAGAAGAGAAAATCTGGGTAAAGTTGTGCTCTGCACCCTACAGAGACATGTATTCACTGGGGTTAGCTGAAGATGCTCTGTACCTGATAGGAGGTCAGATGAAAGTGCACAATCATTACATTATAACGGACAGCGTGGACAGATGGTCATTGAAGAGAGGAAGCAGCTGGCTCAGTTTTGCTCCTTTACCACTGCCTTTAGCCTGCCACTCCACGGTGAACCTGAAGGAGCATCTCTACGTGCTGGGGGGCTGGACTCCACAGGTACAGGGAGGCTTAAATGTGCTGAATATAGATGTAGTGCTTGGACAAACTAAAACCAAAGACAAAAACATGGAAACACACTCAAAAAAAAAAACTGAGTAGAAAAAAAAGCAGGAGAATAATCACAGTAAATGTTGAATTTTGTGTGTTTTTTGAATTGCTTCTTTTCTGCTTTCAATGGGAACCTTTTTTTTATATTTATATATATTTTGCAATGGCATGTTTAATGTGAAAAGGAAGCATTACATTTATTTTTTGAGAAACACAAAATAAATAAGAAGAAAGATGTTGAACGTTACTACCACTATTACTAATGTTATAGTGGCTATTTACACAATTCTTTACTTGGATTAAACTTTAAAGTGATTGCACAATGACACAGTGATTGATTATCACCGCTAGTCAATAAATAAAGTCACAGTGTATATATTTATTTTCCATGCAAGTGAAAGGGGCTTGTTCCCCCTAGTGATAGCAAAAAAATCATATTTACAAAATCTACTGTAACTACCAATCAGGGTTGTGTATGGGTTAAACTCTTGTACATGATTTAAAAACAAAAAAAGTTATTTACTACTTTTCCTATTTATAAAGTGCCTCTGTGTTCCTTCTCTGATCCTCAGAACCAACCGGATGATGAGCCGGACAAACTGTGTAACAGAGTGTTTCGCTTTGAACCAGGCAAAGATAGGTGGACAGAGTGTGCAACCATGAAGTACTCCAGGTATCGCTGTGGAACTGCTGTACTCAACGGAGAAATCTACATATTAGGTCAGACCCTGGGAAAATGTTACCATATGCATTCTTTATCCAAAATTATTTCTATTTTTTTTATAGCACTTATTTCCAAACATCTTTATTTCAAGATACTTTTCACAACACATGGGGACAAAGTTCCAAATCCTTTTAACAGAAAACCTTTTTTTTGCACCAAATCTGGGTACAATATGAGCAGAGAGCATAAACAGATATAACTAACAATGTCTCTGCACAGCTAGGAAAAACAGTGAAATGTGCTCTATGTTAAAGCCCGGTACACCTTCTCTAAAGGAAAAAAAAAAAGATAATTGCAGCAAAAGCTCGATCAGTGGTTCTGTCTTGAAAAGAGACATAGATTAGAACTTGGCATTCTTTCTCAGGTAGTTATTGCCTGCAATGAGCTATCAATTTCTACCACAAGTCACAAAGCCACGGCTAAGAGCAGAAACTTTTATATTCAGAAA